TAATTTTCGTAAGACATTTTATTGACAGCCTGAGATAATGTCACATTTCAAAATAAGAGAGGGTCCAGTGTAGTGCCTCTGATCCAAGAATCACTGATCACTCAATAATCACAGTAGGTTGAGAAAAGTGCGACTGGACTGCAGAAAATACAGAGAGACACAACTTCCCCACTCCTGTAGACTCCATGTGAAGAAAGCGAGTCATGCGGCTAACTAACAAGACCTTCATTGCAGATCTAATCGGCCTGTTTCCCAGTCCTCTTACGGAACAACTCTAAACTGAGCCCTGACAACTGACACTGATTTACTAAATGTAGTCTCTCATCCTATTAACAGATTAAAAGTTACTGCAACTAACACACACAGCCATGCATGTGCACACATACACACACACACACACACAACTTGACAAGCAACAAAGCCTGGCATTTCAAAGGAGAGCAAAAGATATTTAAGTGAGGCTGATGATTTAGTCCAAAGGATTCACCGTCAGGAGTAGGTAATGCTCAGCAGTAATGGCAGGTTTGTTCTATTTTGACCCCTTCACAAAAACAAAACAAAAAAACTAATAATTCTATGTTGCTAATAAGATATGGTTTTACATTCGGACAGAATAATTAGGGTGTAGTTTAGCTGCTTTTTCGCAATGTCTGCCCAAGTTTGTGTCTTCTCTCAGTGTGGTATCATGAGGCTTTTGCAGAGGACAGATGTCTTTTCAATCAAGCTGTACAATAAAAGACTGACAGTTCTCATCTTCAGTCAGACATCAATATGAAGCCTTCAGTGAACTGACTGGACAGTGGACGCGTCACTCACTGGGCTGTCATTTGTGTTTGCTTCAGGTTTCAAACTGGAAGGACATGGCAGCTGTTCTGGAAATGTCACATTTCTACCACCAGCTAGTCATCACAGTAAGTTTCTGAATGAAATGGAGACAGAAAATGTCATTCACAAGTTTAAAACATTTTGAATGATTTTGAGTCATTACATCATCTAAACTCTCTCTGTAGATCTGTGATTGGTCAGAAATCTATCAACTGGGCTCAACAGATTCTCATTAGGCTTGAATCTTGTGAAAAAAGGTTCCAAGATATAGTCTGCTTTGTGATGCTATACTTTAACGCGTTAATTACGAAATTGTTCAGATAACATCTGAAATGGCTTTAGAAACAAGTTAGGGCCATTTAGAGCCATGACAACGAAGGCAATAAGAGAAATCCAAGAATCAGGGTTTTAAGAGTGTAAGAAACAAGAAACGCAACAGTTATGGTGACTCAAGCGGCTACAGGTACAGTAAATTAGTAAATTATTTGAATTATCAATCATTTCTCTATTAACTGTTTGGTCCATAAAATGTGGTGGAAAAAAAAATGTTGATCATTATTTCCTAAAGCCCGTATTCAAATGTCTTGTTTTGTACCAATAACACAAAGAAATTCAGGTTACAGTCATATAGGACTGAAGACCATATTCACATCATTTCATTAGCTGTAGTTCTGTCCTACTTGTGCCTCTCAAAATCTCTTGTTTTGCTTGTTGTCTTTTTCAGAATATCAGGACTTCAGTATTTGAAAATGAGGAAATATTTTATGTGAGTAATTGCATTGATGATTTATGATTGATTATGACTGAATTTAGATCCCTGTAGATCAGGATCACAGCCAAAAACATGTCTAGTTCCATATTATATTATATGACATCGGCTGTTAATAAGTTGATTGACGATGTGAATATAGTATACTATAATATAATATAGTATGGTAAAAGTACTACTACTAATAATAATATTGTGATTCTTTTGACATTTATTACAATTGCGATAGTATACAGGATTAGTGGGAATGGTCACTTTTGGATTTCATTTTCACAAAATCCTGATGATGTGACGTGTGACATGTGATGTGATGATGTGTGATGTGATGTGTTGGGGTCTGTATCAAACTTTCTTACATCTGGAAAACAAGATTCATATGCCAGGGGAATCTCTGCAGCACTACAGTACTTCATTAAAACGCTTTTCTGTCACATATTTTACCTTTATCAAAAATTCCACCTTCTATGATTTAGATAATGGACTTGGCCATTTTGATCATATTTTGATTAATTGTGCCGCCCTATTTAGTGTGCAAGCCTAATTTAAACAGTGGCTAAAGAGGTTAAGAGAAATTCAAGTTAATTTCCAGGTTCACAGCAATTTACATACTGTAAAACTTTATCTCTACAACGCCTATCTCTACAACGCCTCCCTCAGA